TACAATGTAAATCTGTTGTAACAATATATGGCTCTTTTGTGTCCAATCTTGTCGAAACGAAATCAGTAATTTTGTTACTGTCTGGTGCTAACCTGTTATTAAAATTTTACAATGATAACCTAATGTGCACGTGACAGGACTTATCTTGTCATTTCTGTTGTAAACAAACTGGATGGATTTCAAAGTCATCATCAACAACAAAAGCGATCACTGACCCGAAAACATTTACCCTGATATACTATACGCCAACAACATTGCGAAATTAAAATTGTCCTATAAGCCATGTCATGTTGATTTCTGAGTCCCGTTCAGGTCCGCTGAAGTCCCGTTCAGGCCCGCTGAAGTCCCGTTCACAGTGTTTTGTTTTGCTTAATTATTCTGTCCTAAATTTTGATCAACGGACGTCACACTTTTCTCTAAAAGAGGCCGTCATTTTCCTCACACCAGACACCGCTTTCGAAGGAATAAAAGGAACATTATTCCCCTAAAGACCGCTTAATCTCTCTACTGCCATCACTGTAGTTTTTGCGGACGGTCTAACAAGTGACTTAATATTAGCAACACGCGAGGAGGGAAAACTTTAACGATTACTTAACTTTAACTGGTCTCGCCCTCTCAAATACAACAAATAAAAAGACAGGAAGGTGAAATAAATAAATAAAAATGCATTTTATTTAGAGTCTAAAGCTGCCTAGGAGTAGACGCAACATACTGTAGGTTATTCCCTATATTGGGACAATCACTATACTCTGTTGCACTCGGTACAGCTGACTCAAAACTGACGTGTCCTATTTAATTTGCTTAAATTAATGTGCTCAGACAGTCATGGTGTCAGGGATGGTCTTGATTAAATCGTCCATCTTGACGGCCAGATCACGTGATAGTGGGCATAAGGCAGGCTAGACGGTAAATCATTATTGTGGTCATGTAGATAATCCGGAATCCGCATCCGCTCAAAGGAAATCCACTTACTTCACTGTCGAAGTGATGTAGCAAAATTCTTATCATTAATATTGTTTAACAAAATGCGAAGATAATTTGATTAACTTTTATTCAAGCACTGACTTGGTTCACTGATTCATATAGTAAGAGTATAGTCATGGTTGTGAATAAATTTGTAATAAATTAATAATTAAACTAATTATATTAGTACAAATACTGCATAAATAACATATCGTAGATCATGAACACTTAATGTGAAACAACAATAAATAAGACTGTGATATCGAAATGTAGCGCACAACATCTATAATACAGCATTTGAATAAGTTATCATATAGGTGCAAATCTTTGGAGTAAAGGAATTAAAATATATACATATACATATATAATTCGAATAAATAATGCGTTTACAACACAATTGTGTTGTATTTTTTGCACACACACACACACACAAAAACACAGAGTACAGAGTATGTTTAGTATAAATTAATTAGTGTTGCAACTGTTGTAAAGGTAATGGCTTACACTTTCACTAATTGCAGGTAATAATAAAAGAGTAACCAAATGAGTAAAATGATAGGGAGTTACTGAGTGCAAGTTAAATTTCCTTAAGAGCGAGTTAACAAGTGCAGAAATCGTTTTTGCGGTTGGAAAAGATGGAACATGCCAAAGTCACATATAGTTTGATTTGATTGGTTCATTTCTAAATAGTTTTGCAAGTTTCCTCGTAATCACAAAAAGACAATGGAAAACAAGTAAATGGGTGATCAGTACGGAGAAATATAAAGGTAGAATAGATACTTTTGAATGTGTATGAAAAATCAGATGTAGTATGATGGCAATGACAACGAGTTGGATTTTTCACACATATATTCACAGACCAATTTGGACCAATATTCTTTTTCCAAAACACATGGAGGAACAAAATCCCTCTTCAGCCTTCTCCCTTCCTCCGTCCAAAACACACTGACTGATCTTCTCAAAATGCTAAGTGTGACAACGCTGATTGTGAACGAGATCAACAAAAACACGATGAAAAATCGAGATAATCTCCATGATGTGAACATAAAGAAAAAATGCGTGCGATGGACACCAGCAGCGCCAAATTGCACTTTATGTTAGAAATATGTTAGGGACACATTCCTTCATCAAAGTCGGATGATTTCGTCATTGGTCACGTGATTCATCAGCCGACACGTGGTCTGTGTCTTCTGTGAGTTTTCTGTAATATAAAACATGAATAAAAGTCAACTGCACGTTTTTAAACTTTTGTTTTAATTTTATTTATTTATTAACTTATTTATTTATCGCTAAGCGGCTATTGGACAAGTGCTTTCCGTAGCATGTAGGATGTTTTGGGTATAAGGTGTACTAGTGGCGAATAAAATTCCATCTTGGATTCAGAACAAATATCTCTAACAGTTGAAGAAAGGCTCAAGGACACAAGTGAAATCAATGCCTTTGTGTGGGTTTTCGATTGTGGACAAATGTAACACAATAAAGTAATATCGCTGCAGTTGTTATATTGTAAGTACATTTTTTATTGTTAGTGCATTCATCTAAAACACTCTTTACTTACATGTAACCATTTTGCTTGTGCATCTGAAAGTATAGAAACGATTGAAAGGATGCCGTTATTTATTTTTTAAAAAGGAGTAGAACTGCAAAAAAAAAAAAAAAGATTAAAAAACGATATCTATAAATAAGGAGACAACAAGGAAACTGTATTTTGTAAGAATCAATTGTGGCAAATACATTTAACCATTTAAGTGTTAGATCTTTTAAAAATTTGATGTCAACTCGGAAATATGTAACTATCGTAAGCAATCGGTTCATATTCTCTTCAGCTGATATATTTTACAGTTGTAGAAACTGAATATGCGCGCGCGCGCGCGCGTGTGTGTAAGTGTGTGTGTGTGTGTGTGCGCGCGCGCGCGCACGTGAAATAGAGGCAGGGAATTGTTTGTGTGTGTGTGTGTGTGTGTGTGAAAGAGAGGTAGAGAGAGTGTGCCTAGTGTATGAGACTTATAACATCACAGAATGAACTTACAGTCATCTCGTGCCACACATCTACAGTTGAGAGTTCCTCTACACGTGCAATACCGGCCACTACACTCCTCTCCACAGCATTTACATGTGGCGCCCTCTACACCTGTGAAAAATATAAAAATAAAACAATGAAAAGGAAGAATGAAATAAATATCCTGTCTTCTTTTTTTCTTTTTCTTTGTGTGTGCATGTGTGTTTGTGTGTGATAGAGAGAGAGAGTTAGAGAGAGAAAAATATAAACGAATTACACAAATCTTTTGGGTCGGATTAAATGCTACGTCTTTAATACATTTAGAAAAATCTAGCTATCAAAATCAAATACCAACTATCAAAATTAAAAAATATTTTCTTTGTAATTTCTTGAAAATAAAAAAAGAAATGTGATGAAGGCAAGACAATTCAAACTTTAATTCTGTAAAGCTTCCCATAGATATCTTTAACTTTGTAACAAATAAATAAGATATTAATGAAATATAAATAAGAAGTCCCTATTTCTTTACGGAGATATATAACACATACCTGCTGCAAAAGATAAGAGGAAAATACAGATAACCAGTATCGCTGTGCACTTCATACTGTCCACCAATTATTCAAATATAATATTAATACGATGTATTTAATATCTATCTTTTTTTAGACCTATTATCCTGCTCTTCCTTTTTTCCTGTCTCTCCGTACAATGACCACACGCGTGTTGTATATGTACTGGTCTTAGCAGTTACTTTTTGAAATCCTTTGATAAAAATACCAACTGGTTCTGTCCACCTTGCCTGTGTTGTCCAGTATGCCTAACCAGTGACCAATGCTGTGTCCCTATATTCATACCTGCCCCCCGACCACCTTTTTTCGGACACAAGGAAGTCATATATTGAAGACAAGGAAATATATTTTCATTATCATCCACTCCATCTTGTCATGCATTTTTGATAGACAGCCGTCCTTATTTTTGCTACTTCCTTATTTTTCGTTCTTTTCACATTCGAGATGTGTTCTTTTTTGAAATACTGATCGATTTACAAGGATGGGGGTGGGGGACGGGAGGGTAATTCCCCTTTCATTCTTCCATTTGACAACGAGGGATATTTTAGAATCAAAAGGGATGTATTAGTCGACTTCTATGACATTGAGAAATCAAAGATGTGATGTCTAGTTCTATGACGTTGAGATACCGACAAGTTGACGACTGTGGTAGTCAGAGACACGCTACGACTAAGAATGTAATATGTGCCTGTAATGCGGGTCTGGGCCATCAAAAAGTAGTTAGCCATGGTAAATGTTTACCCATGAATTCAGAATAATAGCAAAAGTAAAAATATAAGGAACTTTTACAGAAAATTTTAAAACGTTTGAAAACATGTACCAGTTAATTCGATAGTTCCTTCAAAACGTATGTGTGTTGTGAAAGAGAGAGAGAGAGAGAGAGAGAGAGAAAAAGAAAGAACGAAAGAAAGAGAGAGAGCTTAACAGAAGCTATCATTGCGGTTCCTGTTTACCCAACCGGCCGTCCATCTATTGCTTTAATCACATATCACTCTTCGTCTGAAAACTGTGTTTTTCATCAATGGCGAGGTTAACTACAAGGAAGTCAGGACCTCCAGCCGGACCTAACGATTTCAGTGTGGTCAGTCGGATGGTGGGTAGGAGTCATTTCCGGTCACCTTTAATCTTACCATCAGCTGGATCCAGGATTTAGTTAAGGGGGTATGTTCGGGTTATTTGGATTTTCTTTCATTTTCCGTCTTCTATCTTACATTCAGTGAAATATTAAAAAATGCATAAATGCCTCAAATACATATCATCAAAAGCACTTTATTTCCTGGGATAGGGGGGTGTCTTTGAGGGATTGTCCCAGGTGGTATTGTGAGGGGGGGGGGATTGTCCGGGGGGGGGGATTGTCCAAAAATCGTGAGGTGGTTTGGAGTGTGTGTGTGTGGGGGGGGGGGGGCACAAACATAATGTTGTTTTGCCTTGATTTGTTAGTCATATTGTTCTGAACCGTCCAATAGGACATCCACTGTAATTAATAGATTTACTAAATTTCAATGTATTAATTCCCATCAACGAATTAACTCAAAAGCGTCTCGGCATGACTCTAGATCCGACCCTATCCTTCCTCTGCACGTGTACAGAGAAGCATCAAAATAAAAACAATGTCACATCTCCAGTTCCTATTGAAAAGCCCCTTCATCATTTTATACCTTTTATCTAAGCGGAACTAAAGCGCGTGCAACAGTTACTTCAAACTAAGATCTAATATATCCGTTTATTAGATCTTAGCTTCAAATGATCTACATACTTATTGTGCAATATTAACAGATAAGGGTTCCTACTTATCAGATTTAAGGTACAGGTATAAGTCTATATCAATGCATCTCTACCAGCATACCTACATAGCAAATGGTTGAAATCCTTTCAAAACAGAAGCAAGTTATATAATAAAATGCCGGCTTATTCGGTTACATAAATACTAAGTTGAGGATGGAAAAGACTCCACAATATACTTGTAAATGTAAAGAGGAACAGATAATGAATAAGGTCATACCCTCCACTTAGATGCTATATATTTTTCATACGTGTTTGTGTGTGTGAATGGGGGGGGGGGGGGGAGGAGATAGAAGATAGTTTCCAAAGCTTCTGAGGGGGTCGGGATGCAGGTGGGGTAGGGGAGGACGCAGGCCGAAAACAGCAGACTGTATTGCCATGGTAAAGTCTTATGAACAAGATAAGCTTATTTGAAAATGGAGTTCCATATTTAATAACAAAGTTGAGATTCGATGTCTTAGTTATATTTTATCGGGGTCCATAAACACAGCATCGCAGTTGACGGTATAAGCGACACCTGTATCCTATACTATAAAACATGCATGATATAAATATTAAATATTAAATATACCTACACAGGCAACGTCAGAAGTGGTAAGTTGTATGTGTCGTTTTTCAAATATCTATTTTAAATGGTATTCACTCAGTAGCGTTTGGGGGAGAATATTAATTGTGCGTAATTGTGCGTAATTGTGCGTTCAATAAATTTTGATGTTGGTTAATAATATTCTGACGAGGTATTGAAAAGACAGCGCGTTTTTAGCAGAAGGGTCCATTATTTCCACACCGACTTTTAATTCTGACAGGAATATCTCTTAGAACCCCAGGGCCTGATCAGTAAAAGGAGTTTCAATGGAGGCACTAAAAAAGCTCCAGTGGTTTGTATTTGGTGCTGTCCTGATGTCTTGTCTACAACTCTGGCTGAGGAGGAAGCAGACAGGTGATTGTTTCACTCTCAATCATGGCACTTCAAAATTCCTTTCCCAGCTGTCGTTCTCTCTATTTCTCTTTCACAAACACACACACACACACACACCAACACACACACACGTGCGCGCACCACACACATATACACATTCAATTCAATTTCGCATTCAATTCAATTTATTAAACCTTGAATTGAATTGAATACACATAAAGACACGCACAAACACACGCGTGTACATATACATAACTTGTGTTATACAGTATATAGAAAAGCAAACAGCTGATAATGATCTTAATATAGTTGAATAATTGATGGGTTTCTTCCATAAAGCAACCGCATTCAATCTTAGACCCCATTCCCAGAGATTAGATCGATCAAACTAGATCGACCTAACTCCCTGGGGGTTCAAGCTAAATAGCTGTCAGCCGAGCGGGCACGAACGTTAATTACCCCTTTACAGCTTGTAGTAGGCGGGACGGACATTTAAGCCGAATTATTGGACAGTTATCTAGTGAGACTCCCCACGGGGATAGATCGATCTAAAATCTATGGGAATGCGCCCTTACACGCATTCCGGTTTTTGTTGCTTTGTTTTATTTAGGTATTATATGTGTCTTTATCTAAGAGAGCGTTGCCATAGACCCATCGTACTAGCTGGGTTGATCTAATACTACGGGCATTCTCGCTAAAATATTCAATCAAGTAAACCACTGTCGAACACGTCAATTTTCAGATCTCTCATTCTAGGTACCGACCTTGGATGTTCGAATCCACCGCCGAGAATATATGTAAGTTACTTACACAGTGTGTTTGGGAGTTCCGTGCGTGTGTGTGTGTGCACTTACGTGCGTGCATGCATGAGTGCAAGCGTGAAGAGTCAACGTCAGGTATTTTGGTACACTGGTATCTGCTAAAGATGTCAATCACAGCCTCATATTAATACATATTGTCGACCGCATTGCCTGTTTAGTTTAATACCACTATAATTTCTTCCAATATTTCAACATGGAATGGAATATTTCAAAAGTGATAGACAAAATAAAATGGCTGGCATGACATGCCGGTGTAACGAAACTGAGGCTCGTGTGACAGAAAGTCCGCCCTCCGTATAGTTATAATGGTTAGAGTTTGTTTGACCTAAGTGGATCAAAATCTAGGGCGAGGCTGACCTGTACAAATGAATGAGAAGCGGACTCTCTGTTACGGGGGACTCTCTGTCACGTTACACCGGTGCATACTAGTTCCGATATGAGGTCACCAATGCATTTTCTTATTAAGCTTGACAAAGTGTAAAATCAACCTGCTACTGTAACGCTGATAGTTTTTAACCTTTTTTCTTTTTACCAAATTACGAGCTTCATTGTTATCAGTGAGTTTATTTTTCTTATATTTATTTATTTATTACTTTTTTAAGATTTCAACTTAAAATGAATCGATACTATACAACGATCTTATTTGGTCAAAATAGCTTTTTACTGTTTTTATTTTTTTTTTCTATATAAAATAGTTTTCTAGATATTTTGATAACAAAATTAAACCCTNGTGGGGGGGGGGGGGGAGGGCACAAGCATAATGTTGTTTTGTCTTGATTTGTGAGTTATATTGTTCTGAACCGTCCGATAGGACATCCACTGTAATTAATAGATTTACTGAATTTCAATGTATTAATTCTCATCAACGAATTAACTCAAAAGCGTCTCGGCATGACTCTAGATCCGACCCTATCCTTCTTCTGCACGTGTACAGAGAAGCATCAAAATAAAAACAATCTCACATCTCCAGTTCCTATTGAAAAGCCCCTTCATCATTTTATAACTTTTATATAAGCGGAACTAAAGCGCGTGCAACAGTTACTTCAAACTAAGATCTAATATATCCGTTAATTAGATCTTAGCTTCAAATGATCTACACACTTATTGTGCAATATTAACAGATAAGGGTTCCTACTTATCAGATTTAAGGTACCGGTATAAGTCTATATCAATGCATCTCTACCAGCATACCTACATAGCAAATGGTTGAAATCCTTTCAAAACAGAAGCAAGTTATATAATAAAATGCCGGCTTATTCGGTTACGTAAATACTAAGTTGAGGATGGAAAAGACTCCACAATATACTTGTACATGAAAAGAAGAACAGATAATGAACAAGGTCAGACACTCCACTAAGATGCTATATACTTTTCATACGTGTGTTTGTGTGTGTGTGTGCGGGGGGGGGGGAGGGGAGGGAGATAGAAGATAGTTTCCAAAGCGTCTGAGGGGGTCAGGATACAGGTGGGGTGAGGGGAGGACGGAGGCCGAAAACAGCAGACTGTATTGTCATGGTAAAGCCTTATGAACAAGATAAGCTTATTTGAAAATGGAGTTCCATATTTAATAACAAAGTTGAGATTCTATGTCTTAGTTATATTTTATCGGGGTCCATAAACACAGCATCGCAGTTGACGGTATAAGCGACACCTGTATCCTATACTATAAAACATGCATGATATAAATATAAAATATTAAATATACCTACACAGGCAACGTCAGAAGTGGTAAGTTGTATGTGTCGTTTTTCAAATATCTATTTTAAATGGTATTCACTCAGTAGCGTTTGGGGGAGAATATTAATTGTGCGTAATTTTTTTGCATGGACGTTCAATAAATTTTAATGTTGGTTAATAATATTCTGACGAGGTATTGAAAAGACAACGCGTTTTTAGCAGAAGGGTCCATTATTTCCACACTGACTTTTAATTCTGACAGGAATATCTCTTAGAAACCCAGGGCCTGATCAGTAAAAGGAGTTTCAATGGATGCACTAAAGAAGCTCCAGTGGTTTGTATTTGGTGCTGTCCTGATGTCTTGTCTACAACTCTGGCTGAGGAGGAAGCAGACAGGTGATTGTTTCACTCTCAATCATGGCACTTCCAAATTCCTTTCCCAGCTGTCGTTCTCTCTATTTCTCTTTCACACACACACACAAACACACACACACACCCGTGCGCGCACAACACACATATACACATTCAATTCAATTTCGCATTCAATTCAGTTTATTAAACCTTGAATTGAATTGAATACACATAAAGACACGCACAAACACACGCGTGTACATATATATAACTTGTGTTATACAGTATATAGAAAAGCAAACAGCTGATAATGATCTTAATATAGTTGAATAATTGATGGGTTTCTTCTATAAAGCAACCGCATTCAATCTTAGACCCCATTCCCAGAGATTAGAGCGATCCAATTAGATCGACCTAACTCCCTGGGGGTTCAAGCTAAATAGCTGTCAGCCGAGCGGGCACGAACGTTAATTACCCCTTTACAGCTTGTAGTAGGCGGGACGGACATTTAAGCCGGATTATTGGACAGTTATCTAGTGAGACTCCCCACGAGGATAGATCGATCTAAAATCTATGGGAATGCGCCCTTACACGCATTCCGGTTTTTGTTGCTTTGTTTTATTTAGGTATTATATGTGTCTTTATCTAAGAGAGCGTTGCCATAGACCCATCGTACTAGCTGGGTTGATCTAATACTACGGGCATTCTCGCTAAAATATTCAATCAAGTAAACCACTGTCGAACACGTCAATTTTCAGATCTCTCATTCTAGGTACCGACCTTGGATGTTCGAATCCACCGCCGAGAAAATATGTAAGTTACTTACACAGTGTGTTTGGGAGTTCTGTGCGTGTGTGTGTGTGTGCACTTACCTGCGTGCATGCATGAGTGCAAGCGTGAAGAGTCAACGTCAGGTATTTTGGTACATTGGTATCTGCTAAAGATGTCAATCACAGCCTCATATTAATACATATCGTCGACCACATTGCATGTTTAGTTTAATACCACTATAATTTCTTCCAATATTTCAACATGGAATGGAATATTTCAAAAGTGATAGACAAAATAAAATGGCTGGCATGACATGCCGGTGTAACGAAACTGAGGCTCCGTGTGACAGAAAGTCCGCCCTCCGTATAGTTATAATGGTTAGAGTTTGTTTGACCTAAGTGGATCAAAATCTAGGGCGAGGCTGACCTGTACAAATAAATGGGAAACGGACTCTCTGTTATAGGGGACTCTCTGTCACGTTACACTGGTGCATACTAGTTCCGATATGAGGTCACCAATGCATTTTCTTATTAAGTTTGACAAAGTGTAAAATCAACCTGCTACTGTAACGCTGATAGTTTTCAACCTTTTTTCTTTTATCAAATTACGAGCTTCATTGTTATCAGTGAGTTTATTTTTTTATATTTATTTATTACTTTTTTAAGATTTTAACTTAAAATGAATCGATACTATACAACGATCTTATTTGGTCAAAATAGCTTTTTACTGTTTTTATTTTTTTATATAAAATAGTTTTCTAGATATTTTGATATCAAAATTAAACCCTTCAGAACAAAAAAAAAAAAAAAAAAAAAAAAAATACCCCTTTTTTTTTTTTTAT